TTTAAGATGTTTATAAGATTTTCAGCCCTTAAACATTTGCACTTAGAATTTCATAGAATCACTTTAGAACCACTTTTCAGTAAGTTATAGGTCTTGTACAATTCTGGTTCAAATAAAGAACTTCATGTTTACTTGATTGTTAACTAATTATTTTTGAGTTAATGTTGCCTTAATGAACAGTGATTAAAAAATAACCTGTAAAACTCTGATGTTAAATGCGACGTGGTTGAAAATTTGGGTGCACCTAACTTTTGCGCTGGTGCACCTAAGAAAAAATGTTAGGCGCACCGGTGCAACCAGTGCAAAAAGTTAGTCTAGAGCCCTGTGTCACCACTAACCTTGTGCGTAACAGCTGTTTGAATTTTATCTCTAGACGAGGAAGAGGAAGAAGATGATGAGTGAGATGAGGAGTCTGATTTGGAATCAGAATCTGAAGAGGAGCCTGAGTCTTGAGTTTCGGCCACCATTTTGTCTTGATTGGCTTTCATCTGCTTCTTCTCTTYTTCTTCCTTTACCCTTTGCTCCTCTCTTCTCTTTACCTCTTCTTTATGTTTCAGATCTTTTTCCTGCTCAGAGCGTTTTATTTCCTTCTCCCGCTCTGCTTTCTGACGCCGTTTCCTCTCCTCTTCCAGTCGAATTCTCTCCTTTTCCTCTTCCTCTGAGCGTTTCTTCTCCTCTTCCTGCTCTTGAGCTTTCCTTCTTTCTCTCTCCATCTCTTGCTGTTGCTCTCTCTCCTTCCTCTCCTTCATCGTTCTCTCTGTTTCTGACCCGTGCGGTGGTGGAGATTCACCGGAGCACCCAGACGTAGAGTGTGCCTTCTCTCCTGACGTGCTGCAAGYTGAAGAAGCCTCCTCGGTCTCCATCTTGTGTACGAGCAGAGAGAGGGGTCCGGGTCTGCGCTTGGCAGGCGGTTCGGGGCTGCTCGAACGCGAGCTGGAATCGGAGTCTTGTCTCTGCATCAGGGAGGGTTGGAAAGATGCCGCCTGCGCATCTTGGAGGCCGTGGCGTTCCTGGTCGTCCGGTGGACTTTGCTTGGGGGTGTCGGGCAGAGGGAACAGGTTTGGGGGTGGAGAGGGAGGAGGCGTGGGGTGGCGCAGCTGCATAGGGATGGGGTCTACCTGCGGCGGCAGGATGTGCTGCGGCGGCTGAAGCTTGCGTTTGGATCTTGCGGCAGCTGATGACACACTGGGGGCCGCCGGCGGCAGCGYGGGAGGAGTTTTCTTTTGGGGTCCTGCTCTGCCCGGGCCTGGTCCCCAGTCCTCATCCTCGCTATCGTCATCGTCATCACTGTCGTCCTGGACGTGGTTTCCTGCTGAGCTCTTAGCAGAACGGCTGAGGTTGAGGACAGAGTGAGCTGGTCCAGGTTGACTGAGTCCAGCAGGCTCCTTGTCCTGACGGCGGGGCACAGTGGAGGGAAACCCCTGGTGGTCGGGCTGTCCTACGACACGCACTGACAGGGAGGCAACGGCACGAGGAGGGGAGGGGGCTGGTGGCTCCCTGTGTCCCTGCTCCACTCTGACTCGTGGAGTTTCAAGAGACTCCTGGTGGTGGTGGTCTCCTCCTCCTCCAAAATCAGGTGCTGAGGACTGGGACAGTGAAGTTCGATGCTGCCAGACAGAAAATTATCTCGTTTAGACTCTTTAAGGTCTAAAGGTTTTAAWTCAAAAGTGCGTCTTTACAAAAAATATCCAAACGGTTATATGAGATAATGTTTTCTTAGCTCAGTATGTGGAAGTTACTAACTTTATCTGCAACATAGGCTGAGCTGTCATTATCTTCAGAATGGTCATCATCCTCCTCTGGTCCAGCTGGGCTTTCTGTAACAAAGGTACATGAAGCAGGGTAGTCTAAGGATGAACAAAGGCTACAGAATTTGTTGGTTTAAAATGTCTTTCTAGTAATGACACACCATCATCATCGTCTTCCTTCTGGGCCTCCCTCTCCAGTCTCTGACGGAGGAGCTCCTGCTGCTTGGCCAGGTACTGCTTTATGAAGCTGTTCTGGCACATCTCTTCACCTATCTACAAAACAGTACAAAACATAYGTCAAATGGTTTGATATGCCCCCTAAAATAATAAAAAAAATAGATAAACCTAACTTTAAAAAAATAAATAAAATAATAATCCAACCTGAGAGTTTGGCTGCAGAACACTCTGAGTAGAGGATGACTTCTGGAGGTTCTCCAGCATCAGAGCCTACCGGAATTGAAAACAGAAAAGTTATTAAAATGATTAAACAAAACAATGTGAGAATACTGTGAACTGTTAATTTTCTCCAAATACAACAAATAGGTTAACACACTAGTCTTGAATTAGATCCCTGATTAGTTGTAACATTAGACTTTATTTTATAAACATATACTTTAACTGTAAAATAAAGACTGTAAAAATAC